AAGAAGAAGAAGAAGAAGAAGAAGGAAGAAGAAGAAGAAGAAGAAGAAGAAGAAGAAGAAGAAGAAGAAGAAGAAGAAGAAGAAGAAGAAGAAGAAAGAAGAAAAGGAAAGGAAAGGAAAGGATGTCCATCCAAGTCTTTGTCCCCATCATGCCATCATGCTTTTCCTGCTCTTCCCACTCACCCTGGCCATTTGGACCACACTGCTGTTCTTGAATTACTCACATTACTTCTTTTCATAAATAGGGGGGATGCATGTGTGCATGTATGAATGCCTTTGTGGGCACACAAGTTCATGTGTGGTGTGTGTATTTGTGGGTGTAGGACTTATCTCTGCTAGTGCTTTCCCCTGTCATTTAGGGCTCTGCTCCAGAGCTACCATATTGCCCTTCTTGATTTCTCCCTCCCCAGCATGAAGGCAGGTGGCTCCATTCTGCCCATGTTGTTTTTCTCTTTGCAGCACGTATCATGCCTGGCCATTACATTTGATATTCATTTCTTTAGTATCTGGCCCTCTGAAAGAAATGTGAACTACACAAAAGGGTCTGTTTTGCTCACTGCAGTATCACTTTCCCCAGAATAGATTTTGGTGTGCCTGCCTCCTTCCTGAAACCCCTCCCCCCAGATCAGCAATGTTGATCCTGACTTGGTTTAGTGGGATACCCTGTTAGGGTGTCAGGAGCATCTGAGTAGTCTGAGCAATTTATTTTCTCTTTCTGAGCCTTAGTTTTTATGCACATTCACACACTCATGTGCACACATATGTATTTCTATATGTTGAATGTCTTATTGGGCAATTATAGGGACCCTTAAGCCTTAATTCTTTCAGGATATGGTTCTGTCATCACCTGAAAATAACCACTGGATTTAGAACTTCCTGACTGTGGCTACAGCCCAGCACTGCAGCTTGCAGGCTCATATCATAAGGATGCATCCTGCAGACATAGTGGTACATGGGTCCCAGGATCCCTATCCCATAGAGTGAGGACAGTCTGAGTAAGTGATATCAGGAGGAGGAAGGCCATGCAGCACTGACTGTGACCCTGTGGCTGCTGGTCATACAGCTGTGGCTGCCCTCTGGCTTTCCAACTGTGTGTGCCTGTCTTTGCCCTTGAGTGTTTCTAGCTCAAAGTGGTGGTACTTTTTTTCTTTTTCACATTAGTGACTAGTGCTGCTCACCAGGTATTTATAGGGAAACATGTGCTCTAGTTGGTTAGAATAGAGATGGATTCTGCAGCTGGTGGGAGCCTCCCCTGGCCTTCTCCACTTTGGGCATAATGATCAGTAGATCATACCTAATGCATTGCAGAATGCTCTGTGAAATCCTATGTGGGGGAAGTAGCTGGAGGAAATTCTAAGCCAAAGCATTCCAGATTGCAATCTCTAGACCCCCACCCCCACACCCCACCAACCAATATCCCTGGCTTTAACCTGCAGTAAAAGCTTTCAAGGTTAGCTGCAGAAGAAAGGAGTTCTTGTAAATGCCTTAGGTTTCATCCATTTGAGTGCCATGAGGTCAGAGACCTTCTGTATGTTTCTATGTTTCTAGGGCTCTGGTGCCAGAATCCATAGCTGAGCCTGGGCAGCTTTCCTGCCAGGGAAATGAAAGGGACTCAGTAGCTACTGTCCAGAAGCCCCATAGTGACATCAGGGAGCTTTCTGAGTCATAGGTAGGCTCTCATTCCTACTGAACTCCTAGTGACGCTTTGGCCCATGGATTAGGTTTAACAGGAAGAATTTAGAATGGGGACACTCACCTTGGCATCCCAGGCCCAGACACATGCCTCCCCATTGCATAACTCCGAGAGTATCCTTCGATGTGTAGCATGGGCTATACAGCAGCTGGGAAGAAAACCCCGAGGGCTAAAGAGCCCATAGACACAAATGCCACCTTGGGCACCCTCTAGGACACAACAGGATGCTCAACTAGCCTACCATGTGAACTTGGGGCATCATCCAGGATGCAGTGGAACATTCAGCTAGCCCACTATGGAGTCTCAAAAGAGTTTCTTATTGGGAATTCTGAGATCTTTTAGGCAGGCTGACTCTGCCCCAGTTCCTTCAAAGCCCAAAGTCATCAAGACATGATGTCTTGATCCTGGGGTGGAAAGGACAGTTGCAAAGATTCACTGCTGTTCTTGAACAAAAAGAGCAGGTTAATGTCACCTGCTGATGTGGTCCACAGCCTGGCCTGGGTAGAGCTAGCTAGTTTCACAAACTAGCATGGATGCATGGATGGTCCTCTCCCCCCATTATCTAGGCCCCACGGCTTTATTATATCTGTAGCAGGGATGGCCTGGACAGGTCCTAGCTGCAGTTACCCAGGAGAGTTGTATCAACTCCAGAAGAAAAGAATGCCTTGTGCCCTTCTGCCACACAAGTGACCTTGCCTGTGCTTTTCAGGGGGCATAGACACATGAGAAGAATAGCAAGCCTGGCTTCCAGAGACAGCTTGTTCCCTTAATAAAGTAATTACAGAGCTGGCTAATTTACATCCCTAGAAAGATGCAGGGCAACGGTAGGCTGGGGTGTGTGTGTGTTTAATTTTAAATCCTCCAGCCTCTCCTTAATGAGGAGGTGCCTTGAAATACAATTTCAAAGCACTCGTCTCAGCGCTTTCTCTCTTTAAGGGAAAGTGTAAAAGACAAATGAGGGATGGCAGCAGAAGGGGACATGTTGCCTCCCCCACCCATGTTGGGCAGACATTATCTGCCATAAAGCTGTCACTGAAGGATGGAGAACCAGGTCTTGGCTGCAGTGGCCCTCAGATAATGTCAATGCTGAGCAATGACCCAGGATTTGTTGGCACCAAGCAAATGTTTCTAGGGCTCTGGTGCCAGAATCCATAGCTGAGCCCGGGCAGCTTTCCTGCCAGGGAAATGAAAGGGACTCAGTAGCTACTGTCCAGAAGCCCCATAGTGAGATCAGGGAGCTTTCTGAGTCATAGGTAGGCTCTCATTCCTACTGAACTCCTAGTGATGCTTTGGCCCATGGATTAGGTTTAACAGGAAGAATTTAGAAAAGTCAGACATTGGCTTCCTGTGTGTATTAGCTACTTTCTCATGGCTGTAGCCAAAGACCTGTCAAGAAGCAACTTAAGAGAAGAAGGACTTTGTCTTAGTTTGGGTCTCCGTTGCTGTGAAGAAACACCATGACTACAGCAACTTATAAAGGAAAACATTTAATTGGGGTGGCTCTATTATATTTTCAGAGGTTTAGCCCATCTGGTATCATCAAGAGGTTTATCATCAAGGTATGACATGGTGCTGTGCAGGCAAACATGGTGCTGGAGAAGGAGAGAGTCCTACATTGTGACCTACAGACAACAGGAAGTGATCTGAGTCACTGGGTGTGTCTTGAACATATATGAGACCTCAAAGCCTGCCTTCCCGGTGACCATAGGCCATACCTATGCCAGCAAAGCCACACCTCCTAATAGTGCCCCTCCCTATGAGCTTACGGGGGCCAATTACATTCAAACTACCATAGACTTATAGATTAAGGAAACAGTCCATCATGGGGAAAGCATGGTGGTGGGGACAGCTAGGGGCATTGGCAACAAGGAGAAAGGAACTGCTTGCTCTTATCTGTCTCCATAGGCTTGGAAGCCCAGAAAGCTGACCTATTTTCCTCCCTTTTACCCTTTTTACTCCATCTGGGACCTCAGCCTGTGAATGGCATGGCACACATTTAGGGTAGATATTACACCTTCACTTTGTCCTCTCTGGAAGTGCCCTCTTAAAACACTCAAAGGTGTAATTCATGAAGTTGTTCCTTAATTCAACAAGTTGACACAGTTGAAATTAACTAACATACCAGGGTCCCATTGGCTTTGGTAAAGTAGAACACAAAGGGCTTAGGTGTGAGCCACAGCCATGCTACCTGGGAAGGGGAAGGGTGTGGGTATCTCCAGAGGTCTTGACCACTCTAGGTTCAGCATTATAAAAGATGGATGTCATGATAGATGATATGTATTTGGATTTTGCTGGTTCTGCCCCAGTAGGTTTCCAGAACTGTCTAGTGATACCCAGGTAACACCTATGGGAAAACAATGTGTGTTTACCTTCAGCTCCCCATTGAGCATCCTGGTGGGGACAAAGGAAAGCTCAACACTTTGGGAACCCAGGGTCAGTATGGGATATGTACCAGGGACTTGATTTGGGTTCTGTCTGTCTAATTTGGGCTCCTTATTTCTGGCATTGTCAGTCAATCTTCTGCTATGTATCTGCTTTCACAGGCCTTTGGATGAGAAAGAGCTGACAGGAGCTGAGCCCCACCTTCTCTGTGTGCTGGGGAACAGGGCTACACAGCCCCAGTGGCACCCATGCCGAAGAACAGCAAGGTGACCCAGCGCGAACACAGCAATGAGCATGTCACTGAGTCCGTGGCTGATTTGCTGGCCCTCGAGGAGCCTGTAGACTATAAGCAGAGTGTACTGAATGTGGCCGGCGAGACAGGTGGCAAGCAGAAGGCAGCGGAGGAGGAGCTGGACGTAGAGGACCGACCGGCCTGGAATAGCAAGCTGCAGTACATCCTGGCACAGATTGGCTTTTCGGTGGGACTTGGCAACATCTGGAGGTTCCCCTACCTATGCCAGAAAAATGGAGGAGGTAAGAGGGTACCTGGAAAATGGGTTGGGCTAGGGTAGGAAGGATCATGCCTTTGCTGAGGCAGAACTGGAGTCCTTGGAGATAGGAGTGCAGAATTCCAGAACAATACTCATAGTGTCAGACAGTGGCTCATAGTTATAAAATGCCAGGAGGCCATGATAAGAATGGGGATTCTGGATCCAGGCTGCCATGCTTCAGTTCCCATCCTAGCCATAGCCTGGGACCTAGTCCAAGCTGCTGGACCCCTGTAAATTGAATGTAAGAATACTACTCTTGATAGTTGAGAGGATTAAATGAGTTTTATATACTACCTTGGTAAAGAACAACTGTTGGCTGTTATTATCAAACATTTACAAGATACAAAGCACTGTTTTAAGCACTTAGTGGATGTTGGACTCAACTGCTTGAAACTCCTCCTATTTGAGCATCTTGGGACAACCAAAGTACAAGTTTCACATGGCTCATCCATCAATTCCTCCCAGCAACCTTGTGTAAGGAGAAGTTCATTGTCTTTACTTTAGAGACTATAAAACTGAGGGACAGATAGGTTGGGTAATTTTCCCAGGTCATGTGACATGAAGGTCTATTGCTAGTGATGGGATTCCCCCTGGTGGGTGTGGCCTGTGCACTTTACACGACTCCGGCTGGCTACCTGTAGTGGATCCTCACACTGCACCTGAATGCAAATTCCTCTTGAGCATGTGGCATGCTATAAATTTGTCATCAGTGCTGACAAAGCACCCAGAGCAGATAGATATCCCTAGGCGCTGTCTCTCCAGAGTGTGGAAGTTTACCAGAATTTCCCAGACCCACACTGATTTGAAATGATGGGAAAATTACAGAAAATAAAGAAAGCTTTAGTAGGCTCATGTTTTAGTTTCTTTTCTCTTATGATAAAATACTCTGACTGAAAGCAGCTTCAATGAGAAAAGGGTTTATTTGGCTTACACTTCCAGGTGACAGCCCATTATTGAGGGGAATCAGGGCAGGAAATCAAGCAAGAACTCAAGAAATCATGAAGAAATTTGCTGGCTTGCTCACAGTATAATGTTTAGCTAACTTTCTTATATAGCCCCAGCCACTTTACCAGGGAATGGTGCTGCCTTGGTGCTGCCTATAGTGGGCTGGGCCCTCCTGGATCAATTACTAATCAAGGAAATCCCCAAAAGACATGCCTGAGGCCAGTCTGATCTGGGAAATCTCTCAATGGAAATTCCCTTCTCACATGGCTACAGTCAAGATGTCAGTCAAAGTTAACAAGGAAAGCCCACACTTGTGTTCCTGAGAAAGCTATCCGCCAGGGAACTTCATAGGCCCTGAATCTCCTACTCTGGGACTACCACACTCCAGCCTGCTGGATGGCTACAGCTTTCTAGGCATTTTGACTCAGCTTCTTCCTGCCTTCTCCATGGGATTCCTAACATTGTAGCCTCTCCCAAAATGTCTGCTCCATTTAGAGAAGGACACCCCACCTTTATACCGGTTACTGTTCTCACTACTGGAACAACATAGCTAACAGAAGAAACTTGAGAGAGGAAGGACTTAATTTGGCTCAGGGTTTTGGGGGGAGCTCTGTTGAGGTGGCAATGTGAATGAGTGTCTCATGTCAGAGGAAGTGTGTTGGGAAGCTCATCATGAGGTAGAGAGGCAGGAAACAGAGTAATACAGAGCCAGGGACAGGCTGTACCTCTCAAAGACCCACCCACAGACCTCCTCTCTGCCAACCAGACCTACTGAAGGTTGGACAGCAGCATTCTTGCTTAGTCTTCCTATTCGAAGTAACTCATTCCTTCTTCACAACGCCCTTTAGAGAGTGGAGGAGTATGAAGTGACATTTTTGTAAATAAAAAAATGGGCACGTATCAGCTATTTCATATGGTTTTGTCTAATGTTTTCATTCTGTCTACATAGATGACAAAATATCAGTAAAGAGAGATCAAGTGATTTGCCTAAATTTGCAAAGTAGGTGGCAGAGCCAGGATTCCAGTTTTGATGATCTGACCCCAGAGTCTCGTCTCAGCTCCTTTTCAATCCATATCCCAATTAACTGGGGCAAAAAAGGGGTTCTTAAGTCCCAGAAATAAATGGTCTATGCAAAAAGCAAGGCATGGTGTATAGACAGGAATCTGGGGAATGGAGAGCCAGGCTCCATTCACTTATGGTTGTGCTCTGCTAAATGCTCCCAGCTGTTCATTCCTAAGACTCCTGAGAGACACTGTGGCATCAGAAGAAATCCAGTTGTCCCCAAGTCATGTTTTCCAAGGTGGAAGAGGGTGTTGCATGATTTCAGTGATGGTTGACACACAAAAGTGCCTTTTACTAACCATGAATTAATCTCACCTAAGTGTCCTGGCCTTGAACCCTCTGGCCAGACTAAATTCCATGTGGCCATGACCTGCAGTCATGACTAGGATAAAAAGAGCCTGGGCCACGGGAGGCAATCCACAGTTTTTTTTCCCACGAATCACTTTTAGAGGATCTCCCGGGTTTGTGAGAAGAGGAGAGAAACATGCATAGGAGATACCAGTGTGCTCTGACATCCTGACACTCATCTCCCTGTACATCTTGTCCCTCCTAAGAACACTGAGGAAAAATAAAAAAACCAGTGAGGCTCCTTCATGTTGTGTTCCTGAACTCACATTGCTTCCATTGCTTCTGTTTCTCTCCAAAGACCAAGACAGACTAGGGTGCATGCCCATGGTTCTTTAGGCCCTCCCTTTTTGGAGAACTTGATAGGACTGCTTGTGAATGACAGGATTAATGAGTGAGTATACGAGTGGGTGTGCATGAGTGTACATGCATATACATGTGTGTGCGTGTGTGTATGTATGTGTGTGTTTTAAGATGCTGCTGCTCTGTGAGGCTCAGAGGGAAGCTTCTCTTGGAAGGCTCTCCCCAGGAGTTCCCTCAGCAGATGTGTGTTCAGGTGGCTCCTGTAGTGTGACCAATCCAGGATGTGTGTATACACATGCCTGCTGACATTGCCCAAATGAATCTGAGGGACATGCTTCCCATGAGGTCTCCCAGGATGGCATCTGGGCCTTCTGTTACTCTTGTATTCCCCAGAGCTCGAGTCTGGCATACAGAAGACCCATGGTAGGCAGCTTCTGTTGCTGACTAGCAATTTTGTGTCTAGTAGTTGTCTGACCTCCAGTGTTCTTTGGCAGATTAGGCACGAGCCTGAGAAGGGTGAGTTACAGGGGACAGAGCAGGGGGACCGTACTGGACTTTTGGAGACTCCTCTCTTGAGAGGGTTTTCCTCAAGGTGTTAGGTAGCCCAGGAGACAGGAACCAGCAAGACAGTTTGACAGGCAGAGCCTGGCTGATAGTATTGCTAACAGGGCTATGTACTTGGCACAACTCTTGGTGGGGTGCAGTCATCCATGTCCAGCCGTGGCTGTAATTCTCTTGCTAAATGCCCTGTCACTTGGAATTGAGATCGTGTCTGCAGCTAAGTTTAAGACAGCAAGATTAATTTGTTATCTGTAATCTTTAGCAAGATCATTCCATCCTTTATGATTCCCTTATCACGCTTTCCTGAACAACTAATTTCTCTCCCATTCCTCCCAATTAGCTGTGGATTAATGGTGATGCTGATCAGACCCTCTCCCTGGAGAGTTTCCAAGCTCGGCTCTTCTAGACTGGCTCAGTCTGCTGTGTCAGCATCTGTCTCAGATGCCAGGAGGCTGGACCACAGAGTGGGAGGGTGTGTGGCAGTGAGCCCCTGGGAATGAGTGAGCAGGACCCGTGACACCCGGGAGGGTTGTGGACAGGTGTTCACAGAGTACTGTGTGAGACCAGGCCCTGTGACTTGACATGCAGCTCCCTGAGAGGCAGTGAGGAATCGGCTTCTGAACCCAGCCTTGCAAGTGGAAGGCACTGGCATCCATATGCTCCCTGTTTCAAATCTCAAGTCAGAGAATCGAGGAGAGGAAAGGTCTGGATGGGCCATTGTTGGAGAGATCACAGCCGTGAGCCACACCATTCGCAGAGAAGCTCCAGATGGCCTAAGATGTGGCTGAGTCTGCTGGACATGGTTGCCACCCCTTCCCTTACATTGCTGTCACTGCCCACACACTGTGGCTGAAACTGTAGGGCATGCCTGCCACTCCTCCCCTCACACTGTCACTCCTGTCCTTGCAGGTGCCTACCTGGTGCCCTACCTGGTGCTGCTGATCATTATTGGCATCCCCCTCTTCTTTCTGGAGCTGGCTGTGGGCCAGAGGATCCGCCGTGGCAGCATCGGTGTGTGGCACTATGTGTGCCCCCGCCTAGGGGGCATCGGCTTCTCCAGTTGTATTGTGAGTCAGAGCTGGGGGCTGGCGCTGTGTGGGAGGCAGAGGGACCACTTTTGGAGAGTGTGAAGGAGGTCACCAGGTTTACAGGTCAAAGTCCTGGGCCAACACAAGAGGGATCATCACTGGAATTAAAGCTGGTTTCCCAGGACCATAGTCACCATATTTCCTAAACTGAAAGTTGATGGCACTGCCAGACACCATATGTGATGCAAATGATGCAAAAGAGGGAAAATGGGGCATGTTCACGGGGATATCTCAGTACTTATTATTCAGGGACAGAGGGACTATCCCAGGTCCCCAACACTCCTAACCAGCCTTCAGCTCCTCATGAATTCCTTTCTCTTTCCTTGGGAAATGAATTTCAAATTTATGTGGCTTAGGACCCCTTGCTAGAGTGCCCTTCAAAAGAACAGTTGCAATATTCAGACAGGAGCCTTATGGTCAACCCAGGAGGCATGAGGTTTTGGGAGATGTGCTGGGCCTTGAATAGGGATTTCTGGGCTCCTCTGTGTGGCTGGAGATGAAACCTTGCTGAGAGTTGTATACAGTAGAGGAAATGGAGCATCCCTTAAAAGTGAAGCCTGCAGATGTCCATCCTTACACTTGAGATAAACACTGGAATTTACTTCTTGAAGGGATTGGGGAGTCTGTCAAACATGGTAGGATGATTATCCTAAGTCTGTTCGGTCCTATTGTTCAACCAGGCATCACCTTTGCCCCGCTTACTCTGGTCAGCTACAGTGTAACTGCCAGGCTGGCTGTGTGTGCACATGTAGGAGTAGGGAGCCCTACTGGACTGAAAACACCACAGTTAAGGAAATGGATGTTTCTCTGTGTATTTATTCCAGCACAGCCCCCTCGCTGGTTTTCTCTTTTTGTGTGTGAGTGAACACGCGCTCCTCCACACAGTTGCTCATGTGAAAGGGAAGAAACCAGGGGCCCTCTGCATTCACATCAATGAGCAATCTTAATTGTCTGGGGTAGCCAGGCCTCCAGAAGGGACCTCTGAGCCTTGGGAGCAGTCGCACCCAAACCCTGCCTACTAAGCATTGTTAGACCCTCCTATTTTAATAAAACTCTGCCAAGCTTAGTTGCTGTGTCTCTAGAGGCAGCTGCTCGTAGTTCCAAAGAAAGAGTAGCACCCCAGAAAAGGGAAGAGTTGGGAAAACCAGCACCACTGTCTGGGCCTTTAAGGACCAATGCTGTGGTGTGTTTCCACAGTCCTGGAGGGCATTTCTAATTAGAATCCTGAGTCATCAGGAAATGATGGGGGAAGTGCTTCAAGTGTCTTACAGGAATTTCAAACTGGAAAGGATTAACATTTTAAGAGTTTATTGCTTAAAGGAGAAAATTTTAATATCCCAGGAATTCCTTTGTGGACTGCCTGAGTACCAGATGAATGGAGAAGGACAGGGAACAGCCCCTACTCCATCTCACCACCCCCCAATCCTCCATCATGGCTGGTTTTGAGATGCTGGGCCTTGGATGGAGTGCAGGGAGGGGTGGCTGTACCTGTAGCCTCCATGACCTTACCCTGGTCCTTGTCCACAGGTCTGCCTCTTCGTTGGACTGTACTACAATGTGATCATTGGGTGGAGCGTCTTCTACTTTTTCAAGTCTTTCCAGTACCCGCTGCCCTGGAGTGAATGTCCTGTCATCAGGAATGGGACTGTGGCAGGCAAGTGTGGGACCCCTGAGGAGCCTCAGCTGTGGTCTCCAGCCAGCCTCGTCCCAGGAAGGAGTCTAAACTGTTTAGTGCTCAGATTTGGGGTTTTATTGGTTCATTCAGTCGTCTTGGAGAAACCACTTCACACCCTGGTCCTCATTTTTTCCTCTTTCTCCTGAGGGAATGACCTACCGCTCTCCTGCTGGCACTGAGGTCTCAGGCACTGAATTGTGTTTGGTTATTATGAACTATTGTGTTACTCCAATAGCATATGTCTAAGAACAATTTTAACTTGTGTGCAGCAGACTGTCCCACTCTGTAGATGGGAAAACAGATCTGGAGACCACTTTCCCATGCTCATATGTCCATTTAACCAGTAATCTCATATCTGGATTCCAGCCTCTGTCTCAGAGCCTTCCCCAAGAACCTTTAGACAAATTTGGCATTTTTTTTTTTTTTGTGAATTAGTGAGCAGAAGATGGTCTATATGGGAATTCAGCCATGTGATTGTGGCCCAAAACCTCTTAGGCCCCACCAGAGACGGGATTCCTCAGGACCTGTCAGATCATGGCCCAGCTTGCCCTCAGCGACCCACTTACCCACTGCTGCCTGGGCAGGGTCCCACACAGGAGATCCCCATGGGGCTGGAATCTGAGGCCTCATGGCCTTTGCTGTGGTTTCAGTGGTGGAGCCTGAGTGTGAGAAGAGCTCAGCCACTACCTACTTCTGGTATCGAGAGGCCTTGGACATCTCCAACTCCATCTCAGAGAGCGGGGGCCTCAACTGGAAGATGACACTCTGCCTCCTTGTGGCCTGGAGCATCGTGGGCATGGCAGTAGTCAAGGGCATCCAGTCCTCTGGAAAGGTGAGCTGGGACAACCCAGAAAGCAGGAGCTTGGAACCCAGGCTACCAGGAAAGAATACTTGAGTGGCAGCATTGGCCTCATGGGATGGGTAGGAGCATTACCAGCACAGACAGCCTAAGGATGAGCTTGCTGGAGAGTCATTACTGGGACCTATCTATCTGCCTTCGCACTCATAGCTCCGGCCTGCTTTGCATCTTGGGTGCCACTTGTCCAGGTGGCGCCTCCTCAGGTTCCTAAGCAAAACGCCCTTATATCGGGTAGTCTAAGCAGTTTTTGATTAAATTCTGCCCTATGCTGTCTGCTGATAAAGGGCTATTAGAGCATCTGAGAACTTTGAGGCCCCCAAACAGTCCAGTCAATGATGGTCATAATAGTTGAGCCCTGCCTTCCTTTCCCAGCAGTTCCAATCTTTATTATTTATGACCTCATAGAATTCATGGGCTCCCAGGGATGGAAAGGATGACAGACATCTGATAGCCCCCAGCTCATTTGATTGACAAGGAAACTGAGGTCTAAACTGGGGAAAGTACCTTATCTAATGTCGTATGGCTAGTCTGTCTGGGCTGGAACTGGAGCCCTGACTGGCTGGCTTGATGAGTAAGCATGCTGAGTTGTAGAAAGGTGGCGTCATCTCAGCCACCAACCTCCTCCCTCTCTGGAGGCCAAAATAGTAGCTGACACTTCATGGCATTTATCAGAACTGTCACATCTGCACATCCTTGGCTCTCACCAAAATGTTATGAGTTAAGAATATTACAACCCTTTAGAGATGGGGAGATGGACGCATCCTAAGTAGTTAGCCTGAGGCCCCAGGATTGGATGATGGTAGCTGCAGAATCAGTACTCATGCAGATAGCTCAGGATTTGTCCTCATAGCCTTTCTGTTGCCCTGTCCTTAGTACCCCAGGATTTGTTTCACTGCAGCTGAAGTCCCATGATCAAATTCTTTGTGTATGGCTCTATACCAGGCACACTGGGCTATAGAAAGGCACATGATACATGTCAGCTAGCAAGTATCATGTGGGTCAGGTTCGGGATCCCTTTCTTGGGGAACAGTGCCAAGACCTCCTAGATGCCTTCTGCTATAGGACCTCTAAGGACAGGGGAGTCCTGGAATGGTCCACTGGGGACATGAGAGTGGGACAATAAGAAGGGAAATCATAGTGTTTCTTCACCCCATAACAGCCTTTATGAGTGTGGTCTGCTAATTCAGCCCTGCCAGCCCTTGAAAGGCAGACCAACTCCAGGCACAGCCATGCTGTCTCCAGCTTGCTCTGCTCTTGCCTGGGCCAGATGGATGGTGGGTTTGGCTCAGTGCCTAGGGGCTCCAGGCTCCAAGTTCTGCTGCCTGATATCAGAGGAGAATCATGGGCCCCAGCTGTGAGCAGGGAAGGGGGGTGCCAGCTGTAGGAGGGGCTCTGCCTGACAGGGGCCTCTGTCTTCTCTGCAGGTAATGTATTTCAGCTCCCTCTTCCCCTATGTGGTGTTGGCCTGCTTCCTGGTTCGGGGGCTGCTGCTGCGAGGGGCGGTTGACGGCATCCTGCACATGTTCACTCCTAAGGTAAGGCTCTGTGGTTTCCACATGTGAGGGAGCCCTGGCAGATCCACTGGGCCTGATCAGCTTCGTGCAGTTTTACACCCAAACCCAACTGTGGGTCAGGTGTTTTTGCCAGCCCCTGTAGAGAGGCACAGGAAAGGGGTATAGGCTCTGCCCTCATGTGTCAAGGAGAGGTGGCATCTGAATTGAGCCTTGCAGAGCAGGAAGGGCTTCAGTGAGTACCAGTGTGATTTATTAACCAAGGGAAACCATGTGAGCAAAGATATGGAAAAGCACCAGGCATGCCTGCAGCAATGGCAGAGGCATATTTCATTTATGTGAGGAAGGGGCTTCATTAATTTGAGGGGTGGTTTCATTTCGTGGATCTGTGGTCAAAGGAGCCAAGGAGATGAACTCCAGGAATTTCAGTTGTACCCAAACCTGGGGAACAAGGAACCTACTCAGGCAACCTGCTTATCCTATCAGTAGCCTGTGAATGGGGCTGCAAGGGATCTTTGTTCATAGAGGATGCAGCTGAGAAACAGGGTTCCTGAATATGTACACCTAGCCTCTGGGAAGGCGGTCTGTCCCCATCTCATGGCCATGACCATTTAGACCACTGGGCACAGTTACATGAGTCAGGTCACTGGGGAAAATCGGTTTCAAATTTCCCTAGACATTGTACATCAGTGTCTCCAGCTGGTGGGGATGAGAATTTCACCTCCAAATCCCCCTAATAAGTGGCAGCCAAAAGGGGCCTACTGAGACTCTAGCCCAGGGCTCCAGGTCAGACTGGGCCAGACCATCTTGAAACCTCAGGGCTCAATAGTGCCACCATACATGTGTACACAAATGCACGTACACATTCCCTTACATAGGTAGTTGACATAGGGTGATAAAGAAAAGCCCAGAGTCTATGGAATTGGAAGTCCCCAGGTCCCTTTGACTCTTCTATTGTGAGCAGGCTCCTGGTGTGGGGAGGATGGGCATGGTTAGGACCTACACCACCCAAACTGCACAAACTGGCCTTAGGCATCCTGGGATGGAACACGCAAGATTTCTACAGACGTGCTCACAAAGGCTCACCTTCTAAAGCATGAAGCATGTCTCCTAAAACAAACCATAGGGCTGTAAACATGTGATATCCGGTAGAGAGCCAGGCTGCTTCCAGTGGGGAATTGATCATGAGAAGAAGGCCATCAGCCTCTGAGTTACTTCAACAATTGCCCTAGTCGCATAATAACAGTTATTCTTCACTGGGCTATGTGAGCGTATTCTCTGACGATGTGCCTGAACATGGAGCTTTACAAACATCTCCAGATAGGCTGCTGATGGCCTTAGGGTCATTGGTACGAAGATCCAAAAGGTAGTGGCACAGACTCACTGTGTGGCCCAGCTGTGCTTCAGTCTGCCTCATTAGATTCAGACACCCATTACAATGTCTCTTTAATTCTGAAATATCTCAAGCTTATAATTGCATTCCAGCAATATAATAGACATTTTAAGGAAGTAAACCATTACAGAATGCCGATAAAGTGCCTGTGTAGTGCTGTCTGATGTCACATCCCATTCCTTTCTCAAAGGCAGCCACTGGCCACCTGCTCTTGCTGCCATAACAAAATACCTTAGACTAAGTAATTTATAAGCAAAAAGTTTATTGCTCACAGCTCTACAACTGGGAAGGCCAAGGTGAAGGCACCAGAAGATTCCATAGTGAAAGGGCAAAAGGAATCAGCTTGAGCCTCTATTATAAAGGCACTGATCCCATTCACCAGGGTGGATGCCTCATGATTTAATCACTTCCAATGAATCACTCCTGAATATTAGTTTCCAATGTGCAAATTTGGAGTTACAGAAACTGTTATCCTGAATTGGGAATTTATCCTGCTAATGCCTTCTTTGAGATGCCATACACAGACATATTTCCACAACCAGTGTACAGCAATTCTACATATCCTTAAAGTTTACATATATTTTCACAGGTATCCTTCTATGATTTGCTTTTGATTTTGCATGACATGATTCTTTTTTACTTACACTGATATGTGGGCTATAACACATCTATTTTCAGTATGGTATAGTATTTCACCACAGAAACTAAACTAAAAATTCTCTACTTGGTGGACATGTAAGTTGTTGCCAGTTTTTACTACTACTGATAAGGCTAAGTTCTGGTTAGTTTTCTTGTTGCTACGATAAATAGCATGACCAAACACAAATTAAGAAGAAGAGGGTTGACTTCCTTGTACACTTCCAAGTCGTAATCCATCATTGAGAAAAGTCCGAGGAGGAACTCAGGCAGAAACAGTGGAGGAATGCTGCTTACTGGCTCACTCTCAGAGCCATGCTCAGCCTGCTTTCATACATAGCTCAGATCTATCTGCCTCAGAGTGGTGCAGCCCGCAGTGGACTGGGCTCTTTCACTCAATCACTAATCAAGACAATCTCTTACAGGCAAGCCCACAGGCAATCTGATGTGAGTGGCTTCTCAGTTGACATTCCCTCTTCCTAAGGGTGTCAAGTTGACAGTAAAAATTAACTAGCACAGGTTGTAATAAACATTATTACACAAGTTCCTCTGGAGTATACACAGTAAGAATTGAAATTGCTGTCTCAAAGGCTATGCATTTCTTCAGCCAAAATACTTTCTAAGTGGTTGTATCCATGAAGACTTACATCAGATATATAACCTTCAGTCAGTCCACATTTGACATGCTTCATTTTTGCCTATCAAATAGATGCATATAGCGTATGTACTCACTGAAAAGCAGGGGCATTTCCTTTCTCAAACCATTTCCAGAAACCATGTGGATCTGCCTTGGCATTTGTAGAGGCCAGAATCTTCTGACCTGAATAATTAAACCTAGAGGCCCCTAAAGGAGCCAAGTTCCCAGGAGCCACCATGGCACAGCTCATGGCTCATCTGACTCATTGGTCTCTAGTCAAGACTTTGTGACCCATCTTGATGTTGTGTCCTCTAAGATTTTCATGGTACAGCTCCTGCCCCTGACTCTAGAGGATTGCATTGAGCAAGGGGGGTGGCTAAGAAGACTTGAGCACTCCCCCATCAAGGGTACCCAGGCAGGCTATGCCACTGTTTGCCTGGAGTGTAGTTTCTATTTACAGATCCTCCCCACCCCGCCATACTGTGTAGAGAAAACAAATTCACTCTCAGCAACAGTCATCTTACAGTCCATGCAGGCTGAGTACCATTGGAGAGGTGACTGCTTTAGCTCAGGACCAGGAGATAAGATTTCTCTGGGACCATTTAAAGTTCTTGATGCCATAGAGTACCAGTTGTCCAAAGTGTCCAAGGATGGACACTTTCTTTCATATAGGCTAAAATATTAATAACATTCCAAAGGGTCATGCCACTTGACATCCTGAACAACATCCAAGGAAATTTGACCAGGGCATCTCCGACTCTTTTCAGACTATGCGGATAATGTGGTAGGTCCTCCCTCCTTCTCAGACTTCTTCCAAGCCCAGAAAATATCCAGGCTATAGGACCTGTCCTTTCTGTCCATGTCTGCAAGCAGAGAGCTAGTGCATCTGATGTGCTGTACGACCAGGATGTGATGATGACTCACTAGTGCCCCTGATGGGATAGTAACTGGTGTTAATGGCTAATGAACTACTCGAAATTCCCAGACAGCTTTTCCTTATCACTTCTTTCACCTAATTACAAAGCTGGGTTATCATGGGGTGCCATGCAATTCTCACATAATTTGCCCAACATACAGTGGTGAATTATGGAGAGTTTTTTTTAGCATACAAACTCTTTTTTTGTTTTATTTTTTTCCATTCATTTATTTAGCTCATAAATAAAGTCATGCACAATTATGATACATAATACAGTATGTTCACAATGGCATGGCTAAATTAAACCAATTAACATGTTATCACACATATTCATCATTTTTGTTTTGAGAACACTTAAAGTATACTATCTCACAACTTTTAAAAAAAGCATATTGTCATCAACCATATTTATCATGCTCTCAGTAGACCTCAAGACTTCACAGAGTCCATGACTCTTGTCCAACTGCAGTTTTATATCCTTAAACCCATCGTTTCCCCATTGTTAAAAGACCCACATTGAAGCCTAATAGCTACAATTCTGCTCTCTGTTCCCATAAGTTCATCATTTCTAGGTTACACATAAAATTGAAATTGTGTGACATTTGTCTTCCAGTGTGTCACTTATTTTTTTTGGCAAGCATATAACTTTACTTCTTACTAAAGATGAAATCAAATTTGCATGCACAGGTGAGCACTCACTGAAACACCTTGGATTCATCACATATTTGAGTTTCAATTAGCTTATATATATATTTATATTTATATAAAAAGAGCAATATGGCATTATGTTATGCATCAATAGCAGCAACAGCTTTTCCAGGTTCTGCAGTCATTTGAACAAAATTGTATAAGCAGTGTTGTAAGACTGAGATTCAGCCCATGAGTACAACAGACAAATTTGCCAACCCTCAGAATGGATGATCCAAGATAAGATGCATAATTGTTACTGACCAGGGTGACAGGGGAGAACAAAGAATTGGGGTATCTAGGGAGAAGAGTTGCATTTTTATGCAGAGTCAAGGAATGCCTCATCGAGGAAGAACATCTGAATAGCGACTCTAAGGAGGTGAGGGTTCAGGCTACATGCAAATATAGAGAGCACACCTTCCATTCTAGACAGAGAGACAGTGAGTAAAAGGAGCTGGAGTCTGGAGCAGCTTGCAATTCTAGGAAGTATGCTAGAAAGAAAGGAGGGGAGAGAGGCAGGACTGTGGTCTTACTAGGGCTTTGAGGGTCTGGGAGGCCTTAGAGACACTTGAACATCTCTTCTGTGTAAACTCTGGCCAGTGGGAAGTTGTGGGCAGAGGACTGAAGCCATGTGGTCACCCTGAGCCTCTTAGAAGACTGCCATAGGGAGTCCAAGAGGAGAACATGGAGATTTGCTGTGCAGGTCACTGGGTGAGAGGCAACTGTGAGCCAAGCATCGACGGAGGGCTGAGGGT